TCAGCCTTCCTGCTCCTGTGATGCTGCTTGGCCTGCTGTGTTCATCCAGCTCTACACCTTGTTATCTCAGATTCTCCAGCATCTGCAGTTCCTACTATCTCTGAAATCCCAGTGCAGTAGGTTTTGTGGAAAGAAATTTTGGCTATAAATGAGCATTTGAGATCAACCGTGATTTTTCTTTTAAATTTCAGTTTCTTGATCAAATAACTTCTTTAAGAAAATCAATCTTTTCAAGCTTGCAGGACATTTTTGTTCTTTTTCCAAGAAGGGCAGTTGGATATATTTGCAGATTTTAAGTCTTTTGTTGTTAATCTTTGCATCTTTACTTGATTAAGTTTGTTTTAACACACAAACTTGAGGAATCCAGCTGACTGGTTTCTAATATTGGCTATATACAGTCCTGTGTGCATATAACTGGCAATATCGTCTTACTTTTAAAATCAAACTTTGTCTGATTTCATCACTGGTCACCATGGAAGTCCACTAACTGGGTAATAACAGTATTCTTTGTGGGGAAGAAGCAAGGTTGATAACTTTTGCATTTTCTTGATTTTTAATCCTGGACCTTAGACAGCGTGTCCTTTTATACTAACTCTGGAGTACTTCATTTATCAGAGTAAAAGCTATAAGTCTAAATTAATTATTTTTATTGTTTTCCTACATAGCTCAGGGCAATCCCATTTATAATTGCTTCCAATTTTTGTTTTCATTAACTGGTGAGGTGCCAGAAAAGTGGAGGTTGGCCAACATGGTGTCACTAATTAAGAAAGCTGGTAAGGAAAAGCCAGGGAACTATAGACTGATGAGCCTAACATCAGTGGTGGGCATGTTGTCGGAGGGAATCCTAAGGGACAGGATTTACATGTATTTGGAAAGGCAAGGACTAATTAGGGATAGTCAACATGACTTTGTGCATGGGAAATCATGTCTCACAAACTTGGTTGAGTCTTTTGAAGAAGTAACAAAGAGGATTGAGGGAAGAGTGGTGGACATGATCCATGTGGACTTCATTAAAGCGTTTGACAAGATTCCTCATGGTAGACTGGTTAGCAAGGTTAGATCACATGGAATACAGGGAGAACTAACCATTTGGGTACAGAACTGGCTCAAAGGTAAAAGATACAGGGTGGTAGTCTGCTTTCAGACTGGAGGCCTGTGACCAGCGGTGTGCCCCACATGGATTGGTGCTGGGTCCACTGCTTTTCATCATTTCATGTAAATGATTTAGATGTGAACGTAGGAGGAATGGTTAGTAAGTTTGCAGATGACACTAAATTGGAAGTGTAGTGGACAGTAAAGAACGTTCTGAGTGCAACAGGATCTTTATCAGATGGGCCTATGGGCTGAGGAGTGGCAGATGGAGTTTAATTTAGATAAATGTGAGGTGCTGCATTTTGGAAAGGCAAATCTGGGCAGGACTTATACACTTAATGGTAAGGTCCTGGGAAGTGTTGCTGAGCAAAGAGACCTCGGAGTGCAGGTTCATATTTCCTTGAAAGTGGAGTCACAGATAGATAGGAAAGTGAAGAAAGCGTTTGGTACGCTTGCCTTTATTGGTCAATGCATTGAGTATAGAAGTTGGGAGGTCATGTGGCTGTACGGGACATTGGTTAGGCCACTTTTCGAATACTGTGTGCAGTTCTGGTCTCCCTGCTATAGGAAGGATGTTGTGAAACTTGAAAGGTTCAGAAAAGATTTACAAGGATGTTGCCAGGGTTGAAGGGTTTGAGCTATAGGGAGAGGCTGAATATTTTCCCTGGAGCATCGGAGGCTGAGGGGTGATATTATAGAGATTCATAAAATCATGGGGGGCTTGGATAGGGTAAATAGACAAAGTCTTTTCCCCGGGGTGAGGCAGTCCAAAACTAGAGGGCATAGGTTTAAGGTGAGAGGGGAAAGATTTAAAAAGGACCTAAGGGGCAACTTTTTCATGCAGAGGGTGGTGTGTGTATGGAATAAGCTGCCAGAGGAAGTGGTGGAGGCTGGTACAATTACAACATTTATTTGGCATTTGGATAGGCATATGAATACAAAGGGTTTAGAGGTATATGGGCCAAATGCTGGCAAATGGGACTAGATTTATCTAGGAGAACTTGTTGGCATGGATGATTTGGACCAAAGGGCCTGTCCCCATGCTGTACATCTCTATGACTCTGTAACTGAACTGGAAAGGTAACCTGTACTGGAATATATTAAAAGCAATTAATTTTCATTTTTTTTGTCATGGTTAAGATAACCAATGATATTTTGAAATCTCTTTAATTTCTATTCACTTTTATGTAAACTGATCAAGTGAGATACACTGTTAATTCTATTCTTTCAGACAACAGCGACTTAATTGCTTGCAATGTAGTAACTAAAGATGGCAATCAGATGCATCGATTCCTGGCTGTAGACATTTATCAGATGAGTTTAGTTGAACCAGAGAGCAAACGACTTGGCTGGGGAGTGGTGAAATTTGCAGGTTTGCTTCAGGTAAGAAGCTAAATTTCAGCAGATAAGATTTTCTGCTTCTTTGATTCCAACATTTAAATTTGATAAATTGAAACCTGATGTGTATCTTTACAAATCATTTGGATCTGTGCTGTTGTAGTACCATCTTAGTTGGAACTAAATTCTTTATTTTGTCCCACCATGCAAATCTAAATGTTTAGGAAACAAGAATACTAACTTCACATAATGAAATGTTAAACTGATATTTTAGCAGGAAGTACAGTTGCAGGTAGACAGGATAGTGAAGGTGGTGTTTGGTATGTTTGCCTTTATTGATCAGTGTATTGAGTATAGGAGTTGGGAGGTCATATTGCAGGTGTACAGGACATTGGTTAGGCCACTTTTGGAATACTGTGCAATTCTGGTCTCCCTGCTATAGGTATGATGTTGTGAAACTTGAAAGGGTTCAGAAAAGATTTATAAGGATGTAGCCAGGGTTGGAGGGTTTGTGCTGCAGGGAGAGGCTGAATAGGCTGGGTAAAAACTGAAAGAGTTACAGGTGCTGTAAATCGGAAACAAAGTAGAAATTGCTGGAAAAGTTCAGCAGGTCTGGCAGCATCTGTGGAGAGACATTGGAGTTAACATTTTGGGTAGAGTGGCCTTTCCTCAGAACTGTTAACTCCGATGTCTCTCTGCAGATGCTGCCAGATCTGCTGAGCAATTTCTATTTTTGTTTCTGAAAAGGCTGGGGCTATTTTCCCTGGACTGTTTAGAGGCTGAGGAAAAGTTTACAAAATCATGAGGGGCATAGATTGGGTGAATAGCCAAGGTCTTTTCCCCAGGGGTAGTGGAGTCCACAACTAGAATGCATAGGTTTAAGGTGAGAGGGGAGAGATTTAAAAGGGACCTAAGGGGCAACATTTTCATGCAGAGGGTGGTGCGTGTATGGAATGAGCTGCCAGAGGAAATGATGGAGTCTGGTACAATTACAAGATTTAAAAGGCATCTGGATGGGTATATGAGTAGGAAGGGTTTGGACGGATATGGGCTAAGTGCTGGTAGATGGGACTAGATTGATTTGGGATATCTGTTTGGCATGGATTGGTTGGACCGAAGGGTCTGTCTCCATGCTGTATGATTCTAGTTGCTATATTTTGCAAGGGCAGCAAGTTATAACTTCCGATTTAAATTTCTCACATGTTTATGCGCTTTCATCTTAGCCACCCAAAAATACACACTTCTGAATCTACATTCAGGCATCATATGCATATTATATCTCATCTTACTTGCATATTCTGAATAAAATTAGACTCTTTCTTTGGGGGTCACTTTTCATTTAATGACCAAAACAGCTAGCAATTAACATTACAGTATAAATGTGCAGTCAGTGTCTCTGCAGTCTTCTGGAATTCACTCTAGGTCATTGATGCTGTCTAGGTCTTCTACCTGACTATTTTCACACCTGTGATTTTGACCAATTGATCATCATACATGGTCGTGGAGGAACAATAGAGAGGAAAGACAGAAATTGGCGTTTCTGATCTTTACTAGGGCCTTTACCAAGTTGTATTGGGCATGCAGTCCAAAGCCCTTTCCATTTGACAGAAAAACATTTATAGTTTAAACCTATTCTGTTCATTTTACATAATCTGGCTCACATAACATGTTCATTGCATGTAGGGACTTCATAAAAATAGTGGATCAATATTATGATTTGTTGCTAGATCACCTGAATAAGTTGATCCAGATTCAGTGTGATCTATTTGCAGTTCAATTCAAGCTTCTACAGTTGTAAACCATTGATAATGTTGTCAGTTTGAGAAAGATACACCACATACAATAAAGTCTATGTTGTGTTTGATATTCTAAAAGAAAGACTTTTCAAGTTGTTGTTGAAATATGACATTAAATTCACTGAAAATGCACAATGATTGTATTTGTTTTTATTTGAACAGGACATGCAGGTGATGGGGGTGGAAGATGACAGTAGAGCTTTAAACATCATCATTCATAAGCCTGCATCTAACCCTCATGCCAGGCCCTTCCCTATCCTCCAGGCTACGTTCATCTTTGCTGATCACATCCGCTGCATCATTGCAAAACAGCGATTAGCAAAGGGCCGTATTCAAGCACGACGTATGAAGATGCAAAGAATAGCAGGTAGCTTAACTGATAGAATTAATTAATTCTAAGTAAAATTCCAATTTAGCCATAAAATGTTGAATTAATCTCTCCAATACCCTATTTTAATCCACAATTCCTGCCTAGGTTGTGTGATTAATTAGGCTTTTTAATTTAGAAAACAAGGTAATTAACTTAACCATGTACAAAGTCTTCGTCTATTCACCTCGCGTTTTAATAGAATGCTATTTAATCAAAAGTTTTGTTGCGCAATAGTTGGTGCTACTGTAACTTATTAGCAGCTGAAATACACAGCAAAGGAAGTGAGTTACATCTATGTAACATTGTTTATTAACTCAGGAGCTCCCAAGGAACATTCTGGCACATAGCAGCAGGATTTTGATAATTTGCATTTGAAGTCCTGTAGAGGTTATATCAGATCTTATTAGGATAAAGAATTTTGATATCCAACACATTACTTTATTAGCAATAGGTGTTGTGTGTGCTGCCACCATTTCTTCCAAGTATGTGCATTCTTCAGGGGCTTTCTATGGTCAAGTGTTTGTGGGTAGGAATCAATTAGTCTAATGAGAAAAGACGTGGAATAATTTTAATCAGTTAATTGCACCCCTGCAGGAATGACAATTCTTTGAAATTTTTTTTAATTGATATTGCATTCTAGTACTATTGGATCTCCCAGTGGAAACTACTTCTGAAGTCATGGGCTTTGGACATGCGTCACCATCTGCCCATCATCTCCCTTTTAGATTCTATGACCAGTCTCGCCGTGGTGTCAGTGATCCTACAGTCCAACGTTCAGTTTTTGCTTCTGTTGATAAAGTTCCAGGTAAAGTTGAATATTCTACTCATTCATATGCATTTTGCAAATCATTTATGTAAAATTATTATGTAGCATTAAACTTTTGAAGACTGACGTACCTTAGTTACTGTGTTAAGGATAATAGTGTGCTTTCGTTGCTTGTCCATTAGTTTAATTAGGAGATCATCAAAGCAAGAAATGTTCTCTTGGATTGTATGTAGCAGCTAACCATTTTATAGTTGGGTATTTTGACCAAAATCATCTTTGAATAGATTAAAGCATCCAATCTGTATATGTTGCTACACAGTCTATGACAGCTATAAACAAATATTTTTCTTTAGTTTAGAGGAATTATTTAAAGGAACATGGAAAATTCTTATGCACGGTAACAAAAAACAAATAATAACTGATTTTTGGCAAGATCAGTCTTGGTGTGTGTAAACTTATCACACCTTTCTCTCCTATGAGTGGCAGAGCTACAGGAATGTTTGTGGGCCCCATGCAGCAATATAAGCCTTGCATGAGAGTGGCTCAATTACACTGGTTTAGCTGTGGACAGGTATGGATATTTGATTTGATTTTCGTTTTTCTCTCTATTCTGCAAGCTGCAAAGCCAAATGCTATTTAAAGAGTTAATTCACACAAGTTTCTGTTGCTTGTTAAGTACCAGATTGAATCAAAAAGAAACACAATCAGTTCCTCTTTTTATAGTGCCCACAATGGGTCATCATCACCAGAACACCACACTGACCATTATTTCTGTCAAGTGTGGTTCAGTAAGAATCTACAAAGGGTTTAAAAATGTTGCTTAAACATGGTTTTTCCACTGCATTATTTAAAGCATATTTGTGGGTCTGTAATTTTTAGTTCAGGGTTAATGAGCTGATTTTATCAAAGTATATGAAGGGAAGCTGGCATAGAATCACCATTTTCAACTCAGCCCAAACTAAATTTTCAAAAATGTACATTCTTCATTTTTCTTTCTACATTTGCTTCGTCTGAAAGTAGTTTGCCCTATCAAACATTATAAAAAACACTAGAAACAGCAAGAGATATGTTAAATTGTAAAGGAGTAAAGGCCTCCATCTCTTTAGTATTTTTCAGGCATAGTGTCTACTTGTCTGTATTTGTGAACAACAATTTGTATCACAGGCCAATTCTGCTCTTTTTTTTTTGCTCCTGGGCCTTTAATAACTTTGCTATACAATCTGGAATCAGACAATAATTGAAAAGTAACAATGCAGATGGAGAATCTGAGAAGGATGTATTCAGCCTTTGCAAACTAAGCGTGAGAATTAGAGGTGTGCTATTGTGAACTGGAGAAGAAATGTAAAATAAAGGAGAAAGCATAGACGCATGCTAGTGAGCATCAAGAAACCTAATTTGCCTGTATTAGCATGCATGAATATCTCATTAGTTAATCACTTATTTTTACTAAAGAAAATATGTTGCTTCTCTAGAGGTCAAGAATTGTGAGTTAATAATAAATAATCAATTGGCAACTAAGATGAGCAAATAGCTTGCTTCCATTCCAGAAGGGAGGGAGATCGAAAACAGGACAGCAAGCTTCAGGATAAGAAGAACTGCAGATGTTGGAGTCAGAGATAACACAGTATGGAGCTGGAGGAGCACAGCGGGCCAGGCAGCATCAGAGGAGCAGGAAAGTTGACGTTTCAGGTCAGGACCCTTCCTCAGAAAATCTGAAGAAGGGTCCTGACCTGAAACGTCAACTTTCCTGCTCCT